GGGTAGACGCCCTGGCAGAGGGGTTCCTGTAGCTGGTGCCCGGCTAAGAACTCTGGGGAGAGGCAATCCCTCGGATTGCTTTAATTCCAATTCTGAGTTCGTTCATTCTGCCAGGAGCCCCAGATAAGGCCTCTGGGAAGAGGCAATTTTGTCATTGATTTTCCCCTTTTGTCTATTCAGGGCTAGTCCAGGCTTCATGTCTGAATCCATCTTCCTTTTCTTCGTCTTCTTTCCTACCAGATCCTTGTTTCTGCCTTTCTGCGTCCTTGGATGAACACAGCTCTTGCGTGCCGTTCCTTCTGTGGCTTCCTGCATCCTGGACTCCCTGGGCAGACAGCTCTTTCTTTTCCAGGCAGAACGTCTGTCTTCTCGATTTATTGTGCTTCTGGATTCCAGGGGCTGCTCCTGGCTGCGGTGCCTCCAGCTTTCCGCACCTCCCTCCAGTCCTGGAGCTGGCGTCTTCTATGCCTCCCTCTGCGTGAATACAGTACGTCTGAGACCCTGCCTCGAAAGAAGCAGCCGGCAGCTCTGTGAATTTGTGAGGTCAACTTTGAAGGACATCTCTGGTAGAATCCAAACACAATCATCCTTTCCTCCCAAGCCCCTAATGGCCACCCAAGGCAGCACCTCACTGCCGTGTTTGTTGAAGACAGGGCTGGGCAGGGGGAGATAAGAAGTGATTCATGTCTCTAGAATATTGAGATGAAGTATATATTTGCATAAGTTATTACTGGGGAGTCTTCAGGCCTCTCAGATGTTGCTTAAGAGGTATGTCAATTTGTTTTTTATTTAAATATTTGCTTCTATTTTTAAGCAGGAATTATGCAAGAGAAATGTGCCTGAGCTTCTGTTGGCTGCTTACTGATACCATTAAAAATTTGAGAAAATGTACACACCAGTATTTTGTTTATTACCAGAGCAGTAGTATAGAAATTAAGAAGGGACCCCAGGCTAGGTGCCTCAGACACAGGCCCACCACAAATGGCTGTCAGCGCGAACACTGAGTCCTGACACCTTGCTCACTTGAAACGAAGCAAACTCTTTATTACAGTGACTCCAGAGGGGTCAGAACTGGCCCAGTGGTCTCTAGGAAAGTTTCATGTATTTCAATTTGAAGTACACAACAGTAGCCAAACTAAGCACCCAAAGAAAAATAGAACAGGGTCAGTGTGGTCACTGTGGACACTGGGAAGGACACTGGCCATTGTTTGGATAATGCTGTGTACATTTCCTTAACACAAATCCGTCTGCAGATATCTGATGGGAACCAAGCTCACGGTCAGCAGGAAAAGAGAAGTGAAGGCATCAGGGGGCATTTTCCAAGATGGGTGTTGTCTATATGCAAAACCAGCTCAATTATTGGAACTAGGTGGACTGGTTACTTCAGGGGAACACTGACAGGTTCTTGGGTTACATTGTCACTTAGATTTAATAAGGCATTCCACTATAAATAGTTATACCGTTTGTTCAGGAGTCATCAAGAACTGTGGTTGATCAGCTGTGTGTTTGGTAGAGGGATTTCCTAGAGACCACTGGGCCAGTTCTGACCCCTCCAGTGCCACCATAGTAAAGAGTTTGCTTGGTTCCAAGTGAAAAGAAACGAATATGTACTGAATGCATTCCATGTTCTGGGCACGACCCTCTGTGCTTCCACAAAGATGTGCTCTCACCAGGCCAAAAAATCCTAAGCTGGATGTCTTTACCCGAGCAGCTTTCTCCAGGACACTGGGAAGGAAGGACACTGGCAATTTTGTTTGGATAATGCTTACATTTCCTTAAATAAGCCCCCCCCCTGCTTTTCTGTATTAGCTTCAGGCCTTACAAAAGCCGGATCTGCTCCTGATTTATATACTTCACAACAAATTTACAATCGCTGTGTAAATTTGACAGTGACCACACTAGAGCCCATCTCACCAAAATCAAGAGTAAATTCAGAAACAAGTGAACCATCAAAACATGTTATTTCTGCTAAACCCAACTTTGGCACTTTTATTTCAGCAGGAGAACCTTTTTAATTAAATTCGCTAAGTTGAATCATGTTGGTTTTATTGCATTCTTTTATTTAACATGTGAAAGTTTTATAGGTAGATAAGAACTATAATCATAGGGCATATAGATGGTTTAAATTTGGTTTTATAAAAATACATAATTTTTAAAAAATATTTACATTAGCAAGAGAGTCCATCAAAATTCCTCCCTTCAAGGAGAAAGTTTCACAGTATTTCAATTTGAAGTATACAACAGTAGCCAAACTAAGTCAGCACCCAAGGAAAGATGGAAGAGGGTCGGTGTGGCCAGCTCTGGGACCCAGCTGAGAACTCGGGCACACAGGGAAACTCCTATTCACTAGGCGGGGCGACGGTCATTCCTACCCCAGCACTGCCCTGGGCTTTATCTTGGGATGGAAGGTTGGTGGACTGGCTGCAGCTAACTCCTGGAGTGTGCCTAGCTCTGTGCTGGAGCTGCTGCAGGAGCCCAGCGTGAGTCCTCCCTCGTCCTGCGGTGGCTCCTGACTGCTGGAGCATCCGTGTCAGACCTCTTGGCAGGACATGTGTTGGCCCCAGGATGTCTTCTGGCCTTCCTCTGCCTCAGCTCTACCTGGACCCTTGCCATCCTACAGCAGAACTCCCCCTTCCCCTCCTGAGCACTGCTGGAGAGCACTGTACCCCCTGGGCTTCTGCCACCAGGACGTGGGGCTCGCCCCCACCCCACCCTCAGCATGCTCCTCTTTCCAGGGGTCACCTCCAGCATCACCTCCCCAGGACACCCCTCGTGTCCTTGCTGGTACTCCCCAAGGGCCACACACTCCCTGCAGAGCAGTACTCACACACAAACTCCAAGGCATGGCTGATGCTAATGGTGTGTGTCAGTGTGACCTGGCCAAGGGAAGGCCTGCCCAGACAGGAAGGGAACATCACTCCTGGCTGTGTCTGTGTGGGCATTTCTTGAAGGTATTGGCATTTAAATTCACAGAGTGTGGAGAGCAGTTTGCCCTCAGGCATCTCAGTGGGCCTAGACTGAACCACGTACCTGCTTTCCAGGGCCTCCATGGCTGTGCGGGAATTCCCACAGTCCTCTTAGGTGTCTGCCTTGCGTCTTCTGAGTTGTTGCCCCGAGAACCCTGAACAATGCAAAGACCACCTCCCCCTCAATCATCTGCCCTGTTTTGTGCTCCTCAGCATTCAAAAGGGATTCTGGTTCCAAATCATCAGTCATGATTTCCCTGATCTGACTATAAAATAATGGAGCATATTTTTTAACTCTGCAAGTTTTGCTTGTGAAGTTGAACATGCACATTTGTTTAAACTTCTGAACTATATTGAAATTTGGATCCATAGTGTTGACAGTCATCAGAGAGGGGTCCAGCCCCACAGTAGAGTTTCCACAGGCCCTCACTCAGTGGAGGAAGCTAGGAACCTTTCCAAGCTAGGAACCTTCTCCAGCATCGACTCTTACAGATTCAGTCTACATATGATATTGTAAAAAGGTGATAGGCTTATTTTCTAAACAGTTTTATTTAAGACTTTTTTTATTTCCTGTAAGACAATGCAAAAGAAAAAGTGTATTTTTCTCTCCCCAGGGAAAGTTGCATTTCTACAGCCTGGTTTTAGTTGGAGTTCACTTTCCTTTCAAACCAAATACCTTCAGAAGTCGAATTCTGCTTTTCCTGTGTGTCCTCTTTGCTAAGATGAAGGGCTGAGCCTCCACTCCAGAGGGATGTGGCTCAGACAGTGCTGTCATGGTCAACTTGGATTTTACATGCTTGCTGTGGGACCCCACGTTATCAAATAAAGCGACCACCGTGGTGTGGTCAGAGCCAGGGAGCAGCGCACAGAGAAGTGCACCAGGGAGTTTTTATATGATTCAGAAATTAATCCCTTCCTTATGCTCCTGGTCTTTTTTGCTGAGTCCTCACCCGGGAGGGAGTAGGAGGCAATTACAGGCCAGGATGCTTGATTTTGAGATATACCTCCAGTCCCCACTTAGCCTGGCCATGCCTCCAATCCTCATCCATGGAGCTGGGATGAAAATTCTCCTCTCTGCTAAGGCTGGTGTGAGAATTGAGTGCAATGAGGCACACAGTGGGTGCTCAATAAATGCCTTCTGAAGGAGAGCAGGTGTCCTGCACCCCACACCAGTCCTTCCCCTGGTCTCCAACGTCAAGTGCATCAACACGGCCCAGAATGCCCACAGCATCCCACACCCCCCAACGTGAGTCCGGTTCTGGAACCATCATGAGTCAGGGGCCCACTCTGACTCCACTAGAGAGTCCACGGCCTCAGCTTTTGAGCTTCACAGATCCACTGTGTCACACTCAAGTCCACGCTGAAAACTGATGCAGAAATCCTCATGTTTACCCCCGATGGAGCACAGAGCAAATGCCATAAACCAACCCAGAGACGTCCACCTCAGGCCCTGTGCTGTGGTTGGGTAGCAGGGGGGTCCTTAAACTCTCCTCCCAGTGCTGCAGTCTGCCCCGTGTCTCCCAACGCTGGACCTAGGCACGGGCTGGTCATGGCTGGATCTGGAATGTCCCACGGAGGCTCGGGTGCTGAGAGCCTGGTGCCCAGTGCAGTGAGGTTCAGAGGGGGCTTTGGGGGTCTCCTGATTGCATCGCAGAGGCCCTAGCCTCACAGAGGTCACAGTGACCTCATCATGGGCAGTGGACAGGACTGCTGGAGGCAGGTCCTGGTGAGAGGAACTAAGTCCCTGGGGCCTGTGGGAAGGGGTGCCTCCCCGCAGCTTGCCTGTCTCCTCCCCCTCTCCTCTCCTCTCTCCCCCCCTCTCCCTTCCCCTCTCTCCTTCTCCCCTCTCCCCTCCCCTGGCTGCCGGGAGCTGACAGCCGTCCTCCATCACGCCTTTCTGCTGCGAGGTCTCTGCCTTGAGTCAGCCAACTGTGGATTGATACCTCTGAAGTCATGAGCCAAAATAAATCTTCCCTCCTCCAAGTTATCCTCGCCAGGCATTTTGGGCACAGCAAGGAAAAGCTGACCAGTACTGGGCTCATGGCCGCCAGCAGAGCTGCTGGGACACTGCGCATGGCCGGGCAGGAGGACCACACTCACTCGGAGCTGGGGCCGGATGCACCCTTCCTGTCAAGGTACGAGGGGACGGCAGGGTGGGAGGAAGAGAGGGTGGGAGGAGAGGAGGGAGGGTCTGTCAGCGCCTGCACTCTTCATCACTGGGGACACCAGTGTCTCAGGTGCGTGAAGTGCATGATGCCTACTGAGAGCTCACACCTCACCTGCACTTGCCGTGCTCTGGGCACACTGGTGTTTAAGCGGGCACACTTTCTTCTCTGCCACCAGCTGAACACTTGCAGGTATACAGGGTTATTTATTGCCACTGAGTGCTGGACATGTCCACTCAAACATAAGCACACTGAAATCCAGGCTGCTTCGTTCCTCTGTCCATTCTTAGGCTTGCTCACTGCCCTGTTGCCCAGGCCCACAACCCCTTCCCATCCCTGCTAATTCTCAGCTGTCCAGAGTGATAAAAGAGGAAGCAATAAACAGCGCACAGATTCCACTTCTGACCAGAGGCAGGATTATTGGGGAAGCCAGAGCCTAGTAATTCAGGCTCCCTGGGAAACATCATGCACTGACCAGGGAGCAGCTGCCAGGAAGAGCAGGCAGGAGCCTCACGTGATGGCTGGGGCTGCTAGAGGCTGACCAGGCATGGCCCACACTCTGTGATGGCTGGGGCTGCCAGAGGCTGACCAGGCATGGCCCACACTCTGTGCCTGGCACCTTGCTTCATCTTGCTGATGCACTGCGCTTCCATCTGGCCTCATCTCACCCCCATATCTTCACACTGCAACCAAACGCCTCAGTGTGGCTGGGCGGGCTGCTCCCAGGCAATGGCGGCTGCATGCTTGGACCATGAGTTTCCAAGAGGTCTCAACTAGGAAGAGCCAGATCATGGTGTATAGGGTCAGAGACATCAAGGGCACTAAGATGTTTGTTGAATGAAGAACACACAGTCAAATGTCTTTTGTGTATTCTGTAGGGCATAATTTAAAATGAATAAATGGCATATGTTAAGTATGAGAGCACATTCTTGAAAACAAATCACGCATAAGAGACAGCACGGTTTGCAAAGCGTTCTTCTCTTAGGCTGTGCGTTAAGGGGAAGAAGAGCCGTCAGGCCACGCTCGGTAGGTTTTTGCTATGTCAGGACATCTGCAGGCTGTCGGGGGACAAGCTGCAGAGCTCATCTGACTGCTCCAGGTCCCTCTGAGCCTCTGCCTCGGACAAGAAGGTGAGCCGAACCCTTCCTTGCTCCCTCCTTCCCCACAGACTCCTGGGAAGGCAGACTGGCTCCAGATCTCCTCTATTTCTCTCCCAGAACTCCTGACCCTGCCGCAAACTAACATCTTGAAGAATATTTCTCCAACCACTGGTCTGTAGACCCATCTCATCGCCAGCACCCAGCCCCAGGTCCGTCCTCCACTGCCTGTGTGACTCTCAGTGGGACTCAGGACAGGAGACCCAGGAGCAGCACTTCTGCACACAAGAAGCAGAGGCAGAGGCAGGAGGCCACTCACCTGCCCACCTCCCCTGAAGCAGGCCCTAAAACCCAGGAGGGTCCCTCTCTCCTCTCCCTTATCCTCTAAACACCCTCAGATGACTGCTGGCTGCCCCAGCCTGGACCCAGGAACACCCTGAGCAAGCCCAGCTGTCTCCCCAGCTTATCACCTGACCTTTTTCCCTCTGACCCTGCTCCCCGTGGCTGTCCGTAAAGACACAGACTTCCTCATCTCTCTGGGTCTTTGCTTCTGAAAACGCCCACTCACACACAGCTTACCACCAATACCTTGTCATTCTTTCTGTGTTCAATCTGTGTTTTGTTCCAGGGGCTTCAGCCCCCAACCTTATAAAGGTAAGGGAAAGAAATTCCATTCCCTGTACTCTCTCTGCAAACACCTGGAAATGGCGCCATAGTCAAAACTACAAAAGTTTAAAGTTTCATCTTTTATAGAGCTTCCCAGACCGACCACAATCGTGGGCCTCACTTCTGCTCCGTATCTCGTCCCTGCGAGCTCTAGTCCTGGGCTTGTCACATGGAGCTGGTGACGTCAGCTTTATTGTGTTAGACATAAAAGCTTCGCTAAAGGACAAAAAATAATAAAGAATGCCTGACTTGGCCGTTGAGTGACCTGTTCTCTCAAACTGTGGCACTGTCCTTTCCCAAGGCCTGGGGAAGAGCGGTCTCAGAGGCCCCGGTGATCACACCCCAGGTTATAATTATAGTAGTGGCAGTGACAGCCGCAACAGGAGGCGCGATCACGTTCACAGAGCAGATGTACTGTGTCTTCACATACGTAATCCCTGACCCCGCCACGGAAACAAGAAACGTGGCCCGTAACAGGTGCTTAAAAATACAAAGTTTTCAAAGTTTCTGGTAAAAAAAAAAACCCTCTCTCTCTCTCTCTCTCTCTCTCTCTCTCTCTCTCTCTCTCTCTCTCTCTCTCTCTCAGTTTGACACTTACACTAGCTTCTATCACTTACCAACTCTTCCCTTGGTCAGAAACAGCACTCACCGTGTGCCTTACTCTGTAAGGGACCCTGCCCATACCCTGCACGGCTGCTGGTGACCGAGAAGACCTGAGCAGCCCGCTGCACTTGGAGCCACCGTGACCCCCTGCCACAAACGAAGCCCTGAGGTCTGGAGGTGGAGACGGCCCAAGATCCTCAGTGTTTTCCTCAAAATGCCAAATATCCGACTTTTCCTGAAACTTTGGCAGAAGGGCCAGACTTTCCTAGAGCATGTAATGGGGGGAAGCTGCTGCGTCGCCCAGGCCGGAGCCGCAGTGGGCAGCGTCAGCGTCAGCAGTGCCGCGGGGAGCACCGTGGGCTGCTGAGGAGCAGACCCCACTGCAGCGGCAGCTGCTTCACGTCGCAGGTGCCATCTGCCTGTTGCTGCCTCTGGCGGGGATCATGGGTTGCTCCCTTCCCTAATCTGTGTTTGAGGGGGGCATTTTATAGGTTTCCCTTCAAATCAAAATATCTGTAAAATTCCTGAATGTAAACAAAAATGAGGATCAACCCAAAAAGCAGGTACTTCCTTCTTTCCCTATGACAGGTTAGTTAGCCCACTCTGAACCCAGGTTTCAAGGTAGGCCTCAATTTACACTTTTACTCAAGCCCTGTGACCCTGAGCAGGAGCCCAAGGACCCAGGGGAAGGTGCAGGAATTCAAAGCCCACCGAGGCCCAGATTCCCTTCACCAGCAGGAAGCAGCAGTCCTGCACTTAAAGTTAAGAAGGAGACAAGGGAGGCTGGACTCCAGACCAAGTCCTACTGACCCTTTCCCCAGGAGAGTCCACCTGGCCCTCGGGACTGAGCACTGCAAACAGCCCATGGGGAAACTGACTCTGACCAAGGGAATGAGGACAGAGGACAGCTCTACCAGCAGGTGATCTCAGAGGATGGGTGAGCAGAGCTTCCAGGAGATACATTTTTAAGAATCCTCTGGGTTTTCAAATGCTAATTTCATCCTGATCTAAGGAACTTCCTTTAGTCATTTACTGTGGCTGATTGTTAAAAGGTCTCAAATGAGAGCTAAAATAAATTGGGATACCTGGGTCAACACACAGAGTTCATCAATATTAACTCTGAGCTGTGTTTTCTACTTAGAGCTAGACAGTGATTATAGCTTATACCCACAGCTCTCCACACACGAAGGCAGAACTGCCAACGCCTTTAAGAATCAATTAGTTTCTACATGGAAACTCACTTTTCAGGGTTTGGGCTGGAATTTTAAAGCCTCAAGCCAAAGATAAGAAAGGCTATTAAATCATAATCTAGCACTCAGTAGATTATGCAATATAAATTAAATAATATATATGAATACAAATCAATATATTTGTATTTATATATTTCATGTCCATTAAATAATTATATAACTTTAAACTATACATAATCAAATCAGTTCCACTCACTGGAATAAAAACACACGCCTCTTAATCTTTAGAGTCCTGACTTGGAAGAGGAAGTGCTCAGCCTGAGCTCACTCGTTGAGCTGCTGTGTACCTTATCACGGGATGGGAAGGTCTTGGGCATGTCGACTTTCACATCTATTAAATTGTGCCTGTAAATCACTCCTTCACTTGCTTTATGGGTCCACTGAGGTTTTCCAGATGTGAGGAAGGAGAAGGCAACTATCAGGAAAGAGAGAAGGGCTTTCTTGATTCCATCAGAAATTAGCAGTTCAGTTTAAGGATTGATGGCCTTTCAGGGTCCTTGGGTAACGTGACAGGCCCTGACAGACTTTCTCCCTCCTCCTCGTCCTCCAGGCCAGGTGGGCAGGTGCGCCCTGGTGTTATTCAGTCAAGTGGCCCAGGACCCCCCACTTTTCCCTTCTCTGAGGGCTTCCCTGCAATTCCAGCGTAGTGGGGACAGAAGGAAAGTCCACCAGAGCTACCTGTCCACAGCCCGATTCTGAACTCTGAATGGGATCTGAGGCTCTCAGTGAAATGTGGTTAAGACTGGGAGGCAACTTTCCAGTTTTTTTCTTTATAAAAACAATATAACCAATATATTGGAAATTAGAAGAAATCTGGGTACCTACTACCTAGCTACCAGAAGGCTTCTGCTGGCATCTTATAATATTTGTTTTTTGTCTTTCTTTTGATTTTCCTTCTTCCTATAAGTACAATTCTAGTTTGTACTTATTAAAAAACAAGTCAACCAAAGAAAAACTTATTTCAACAAAAGCAGAAGATCTAGAAACACTATTGAGCAAAGAAAGGGGGCAGAAATGCCCCCACAGCCTCTCCGACCCTTCCTAACATGCCCGGGACGTCCTGTCTGGAGTTCCTCAGCACACGTGTGTGTCTGTCTGATTTTATATGTATTTATCTTGTGAAGCGTCTAACAAAATGAGACCATCTGTACAATTCTGTCCCCTGCTTTGTTCGCTAAACAGTGACTGAAGCCGGGAATGGTGGTACACGCCTGTAATCCCAGAGACTTGGGAGCGGGGACAGAAGGATGGCACTTTTCAGATCAGCCTCAACAACTTACAAAGGCCCAAACCACCTAGCAAAAGCCTGTCCCAAAATAAAAAATAAAAAGGGCTGGGAGCCTTCCTGGGTATTTCCTCAAAGATCTAAAATCAACATATCACAGAGGTACAGGCAACTCAGTGCTTATGGCACCCCGATTCACAACAGCTGAATCATGGAGTCAACCCTGGCGCCCGTCAGTAGGGAAACTCATTAGAGAACTGCAGCATATACACATAGAATGGAGTTCCACTCAGCCATCAAGAAAGAATGAAATCATGGGATTTGCTGGTAAACGGATGGAGATAGAGAATATGCTGAGTGATAAAAGCCACACTCAGAAACTCAAAGATCAAATGTTTTCTCTCGGATGTGGAAGATAGAGTCAAATAAAGGAAACGGAGGAAAGGATAGACTATCAAAAAGATGAAGGAAAGACCAGTAATGCAGAGGAGATGGGGAGGCCAAGCGGAGGGCTGGGTTGGGGGAGGCTGTGCAGAATGGATTCTCATGGAGTCACGTATGTGCAGATGTAAATACAGCACAGGGACTTCACCTCTGCAGGCAGAAAGACCAATCAGATAGAAATAAACAGAAGGCAGCCTAGAGAGCAGAGGAAGGGATACGGAGAGGGGAGGGAGGAGGACGTGGGAGCAAGGGGGTCTCGAACGGCAACCACCTGCAAGCATGTCTGGGTGTGTGGGGATGAGCCCAGCCACAGTGCATAGCTATACCCTCTCGGAGGATGGTCAGTGGTAGAGTCCCCAGGTCCATCTTCAGAGCCACAATTAAAACAGCAAGAGTCACTGACCGTCCTAGGAGGCAGGAGCGACGGCCACCTGCACTGGGGTCTGACGGGGCCTGAGCTGCCACCTGCTGCCCTCCTGAAACAGGGACCAGGGCCTTCCCAGAAACCCGAGTTCCCGTGGGCAGCTGACTTTAGTGGAGCTGAATAAGCGTCTAAGATCTGGGCTGTCCTGTGTGTGAACAGTCAGGCACATTCTGCTGAGGAATATCCGAGTAAAGCGGCCACTTCAAACATTCTAGAAAGAAAAAGCAGACCATTTATCACCTCTCCCCAGGCTCCAAAGCCCACCCAACTGTTGGGACTACACATTTAAATCCTAGCAGAGGGAAAAGGGAGACCAAAGATTGTTTGCTCTGTCCCAAAGACTTGTGTCCAAAATGGCTGCAGAGGCTCCAGCCTCCCCGAGGCTGTCCTTGTTGGCCTTTCCAGGCCTGTGCTGAAGTCTGGCCCCTCAGAGGCCATAGTCCCAAAGCTCTAGGACCAATACCAGTTGGCTTTTCAGGCCAGCACTCCTAACAGAGCCCTGCGGCCTTGCTGTCCTGGGGACACCACCAGCAGAGGCTGCACAGGTGCCATCTTCAGGGAGGACAAAGCTCCCTCTTGGCCGGGTCTCCTCTCCCCCTTCTCTGACGTGTTCTGGCGTGGCGGAGTCCTCCTGGCAAACACGCTGCAGGACCCTCTGAACATCTGCTTCGTCACCCGTTTGGTCAGCAGGGTCTCTGTGACCCTACAGGAACACGGACGCGCCCTACAGGATGCTCAGTGCACGGGAGACAGCTCAGGTGCTGCCGCTTAGCGATACCTTGGACCACGTTTGTTTGTTTTGCTAACATGAGGAGCACCTTCGCCCAAGTATCTCTGAGACGCAACTTACAGAAGAGCAACACAACAAAGCAAAAACCCTGCCATTTTTGTGTAGAAGAATAAAACATATAAAGAGGTCTCCTTTGTCTTTAAATGTCAATCTCAACATTGTGAGTAGCTGGCTGCCAATCTATGCTCCTGCCGACACCACGACATCAGCATTTGAAGAGAAGAAGGAGCCCAGGATGTCAGACTCTCTGACACTCCGCACGCCGCAGTGCTGTGCTGGTCAAGATACTGCAGTTTGGTTTAATGAAGACCTAGTTTTGAAGGGGAGTCAAACAAATGCAATTCTATTACTGCTTTCTTATTATTTTGGTAATTTAAAGGTTGTCTCTTTGACTTCTGTGGGGAAAAGAACATTTTAAAATATAAGTGCTAACATTTAAATGAACATTTCTTTTACACTTTTAGTATTCTGTCTTATATTTAACTTTTTAAAAATTTTTACGAGGACTTTTA